GTACAGTTGTATGGTCAATACTGTTGTATGGTCAGTACTGTTGTATGGTCAGTACTGTTTGATGGTAGTACTTTTTGGTCAGTACTGTTTGGTGACTGTTGTATGGTCAGTACTGGTAGTCAGTACTGTTGTATGGACAGTTCTGTTATGGTCAGTACTGTTGTATTCAGTACTGTTGTGTGGTCAGTACTTTTTATTGTGGTCAGTACTGTTGTATGGTCAGTACTGTTGTATGGTCAGCACTATTGTATGGTCAGTGCTGTTGTATGGTCTGTACTGTTGTATGGTCAGTACAGTTGTGGTCAGTACTGTTATGGTCAGTACAGTTGTATGGCCAGTACTGTTGTATGGTCAGTACTGTTGTATGGTCAGTACTGTTGTATGGTCAGTACTGTTGTGTAGTCATGGTCAGTACGTTGTATGGTCAGTACTGTTGTATAGTGGTAAATTGTATTCATTGTTTATATGGTCAGTACTGTTGTATGGTCAGTACTGTTGTATGGTCAGTACTGTTGTATGGTCAGTACTGTTGTATGGTCAGTACAGTTGTATGGTCAGTACTGTTATATGGTCAGTACTGTTGTATGGTCAGTACTGTTGTATGGTCAGTACTGTTGTATGGTCAGTACTGTTGTATGGTCAGAACGGTTGTGGTCAGTGCTGTGTATGGTCAGTACTGTTGTATGGTCAGTACTGTTGTATGGTCAGTACTGTTGTATGGTCAGTACTTTTTTGTGGTCAGTACTGTTGTATGGTCAGTACTGTTGTATGGTCACTACTGTTGTATGGTCAGTACTGTTGTATGGTCAGTACTGTTGTATGGTCACTACTGTTGTATGGTCAGTACTGTTGTATGGTCAGCACTGTTGTGTGGTCAGTACTTTTGTATGGTCAGTAGTGTTGTGTTGTCACTACTGTTGTGTGGTCAGTACTGTTGTATGATAAGTTCTGTTGTATGGTGAGTACTGTTGTATGGTAAGTACTGTTGTATGGTCAGCACTGTTGTATGGTCAGTACTGTTGTATGGTCAGTACTGTTGTATGGTCAGTACTGTTGTGTGGTCAGTACTCTTGTGTGGTCACTACTGTTGTATGGTCACTACTGTTGTATGGTCAGTACTGTTGTATGGTCAGTACTGTTGTATGGTCAGTACTGTTGTGTGGTCAGTACTCTTGTGTGGTCACTACTGTTGTATGGTCAGTACTGTTGTATGGTCAGTACTGTTGTATGGTCAGTACTGTTGTATGGGCAGTACTGTTGTATGGTCGGTACTGTTGTATGGTCAGTAGCATCGCCACTTCTTCACTACGGGAGAATATTAAGACTCACTCACTGATATAAACCCTGTTGAAGAAATTCTCAAACTGTATAGAGCAATGGCAGAAACAGTGGACATTTATAGCATTAGAATAATAAGATAATTTGGTCGTATGAGAAGGGGATAACGGTTGAGATATTAATGAATATAATTGGTGGTAGGAGGACAAGAGATTACGATGGAGTAAGTACACTGAGGATGGCACCTTGTGTGATTGATTCATATTAGATGAAACTACTGCAGGAAACTTTACAACACATTACAGTGCTTGATTATCATTAATGTTTCAGGTTGAAGCCAAAAATAAAGATGTGCTCGGATACGGCCCAGAGGTGCAGAAAACGGTTAAGACCATCCAGGGAAGTAAGTACTGTACTGTATGTATGTCGTTGTATTCACGTCGATAATTAATTAATGTATTCGGCAACACTCACACACCGCCCCCAAAAGATCGTAAAACTCCATTTAGTACAACAAATATAAAACAAAAAAGTAAATTTATCAATAATTACAATATTACAAATAGAGATTTTAAGATTTATGTATAAAGTATAAGTGATACAGTAATGGTTTTGTGAGGGCAGTTTTATAGACATTATGCCATGTTGTGTACCAGAGCCGACTCCCGTGCGCAACCTGACGTACCACAACACGACCACCAGCAAGATAATAGCAGTTTGGGAAGTACCGGAGCGACCAGCTGGAGTCATTAAGTATTACAATGTTTCTGCCACACAGACCAAAACCAATGACCTCAAGAAGGAGGACGTAATCGGCGACACTCAGTATGAGGTGAGACCAATTTCCGCTCTTCATCAACGTGAATGAGAATTTGATTATATTTTCAAGGTGTCCCACAAAAAAAATGTGTGTACAGTACCTTACAGAATAAACTGATTTTCGTGAGAGATCGCGCAAGTCCTCGTACAGTGTTACAACAGCAACATTGCCCACAAAGGAGGACAATGTGACCGTTGTAACACAAACTCATGTGATCTCCACGTTAAGCTGTGGTGTGATGTGTTTCAGTAGCCGTTCTAGAAAGTATCATTTTGGTGGATTTAATGAATTCTAGAATGAACACTGTGCCTCCTTTGGCTTGGTAGGGTTGTCAAAATCCTTCGTCCGTTGTGTCATATTGTCTAACACAAAATCGTAAAGATATCTTTTGCAGCGAGGGCATCGGCCTCCTATGTGCTGTATTTCTGGTATTTTACGGCGCTAAGAACAATAATACTATCTGTGTGTTCAATATTATTTCTGGTTCCTCATGTCTTAAAGTCTGTGCATCAAGGATGGGTTCCAGTACTTAAGGACCTGTGTTAGCCCCTGTCTTATAGGCAGAAGTATTTATATAAATGGATTAATTACATTAGACTTGTATAAATATCATCCCCTGTAACTTTCCACTAGCTATGAGGTACATGTTCAGAGCACGTGATAAGGTGTGCCACGGGAAGTCACGTCACTTGGTGCTGAGTTGAGCATTAAGTAACCGGCTCTCTCACCACCTATTGCGGGCAGTAGTTTGATAACCCTGACGAGAGGAAGACGTTATTGAGAGCCATCGTGGATGGTTCCGTCTTCCCTCGAGGGAGGACGTCGGATATAATTCCGTTCTCCCTCGATGGGTCCCTACTTATTCTCACTCAACTCTCATCATCAACAGGACGTACTTAGCAGAGCTATTTAACATAGCCTCCGTCCTCATTTAACACTCATAGCTACAGTGATTAAGTTATGGTGATAATCCTTTTTGAAAGTGTACATATAAACCATTTATAATAAATACAAACAAAGGAACATATTGGATTCCACTACTGAAGATCCAATAAACTTTCATTATATTTTAGTATATCCAAAATATTAGGTAACGTGCTTCACAAGTGAGTGTTACAAGTGGTGACAACTCAGGAAGATTGGTATATATATGACAGTTTCACAAGTATCTGTTATATTCAGGGTAACAGTCACCTCAACAGATACACAGTTGGTATATATATTATATTCTCCCCATTAATGTGGCATACTGTTCCATCTGTTACTAATAAAAGAAGAAATCGTACTTAAGGACCCACTTTCATGTACTTGTCCTGGTACTTAGGGGTTGTAATATTTTAATATACTTAACGCCATAGCACTTGAAGTACTACCTGTACACCTGTTCATGTATATTTGAAGCTGCTTACAGTGGGGTATATAATCCAGCAGATAGGGTTAGTAGTATTATTGGTCCACAGACAGATCCTCTTCTTTCGTCCTATGAGGAATACCAACTATGTTGTTGCGATGATAACACTGTTACTTATGTATTTGGTAGGTAATGTATTATTTAGTCCTGAATTATCTCATAAATGAAAACGTAAACAGATAGAAATTATGATTTGTCTGACGACCTGTGTAGTCCTGTTACTGTATTGAGGAACTAATGAAATGTTTCCTTTATTTTTAGCTTGTGTTTAATACTACTTTGCGCAACCAGTGAAGTGTGTTTTATCAACTGAGGAAGTTATAGGATAATTTTGACCAATTAATATACTATTTTAAGCATTTATGGAACATTTCATGTATCATGAAATAACATTAAGACTGTAATATTAATTTAAAGACATCCATGGCGACTTCTATTAAATTATAGCAGTTACTTATAAAAGTACTTGCACATGGAATTAAGTTAATAATAAGGTGCTTGGGCTTAAGTGCAATGAAGAAAAACTGTACTTGACTTGGCCTGTACTTGTCTCTCTCTCTCTTCAGCAACTGAACTTAACCTTAAGTACAGCCACCAGTACGTGAACCATCCCTGCTGTGTGTCCAATAATGTTCCTGTTCCTCTTGTTTTGTGTTTTTCGAACTGAGAGTGGCTATGAGTGTGGCCGGTACAGGTTCTCCCAGCCAACCATTAACTGAGAGTGGCTATGAGTGTGGCCGCTACAGGTTCTCCCAGCCAACCATTAACTGAGAGTGGCTATGAGTGTGGCCGGTACAGGTTCTCCCAGCCAACCATTAACTGAGAGTGGCTATGAGTGTGGCCGGTACAGGTTCTCCCAGCCAACCATTAACTGAGAGTGGCTGTGAGTGTGGCCGGTACAGGTTCTCCCATCAACCATTAACTGAGAGTAGCTATGAGTGTGGCCGGTACAGGTTCTCCCAGCCATCCATTAACTGAGAGTAGCTATGAGTGTGGCCGGTACAGGTTCTCCCAGCCATCCATTAACTGAGAGTAGCTATGAGTGTGGCCGGTACAGGTTCTCCCAGCCAACCATGAACTGAGAGTGGCTATGAGTGTGGCCGGTACAGGTTCTCCCAGCCAACTATTCCAAGAGTCGTTAATAACAACACACCTCTTGATGAATGAATGATGTGGGATGATTTGCTGTATAGTACAAACACCATTCAACCTTCAGCCGTCAATGATGCCAGATTCTCTAGCAACAGACACAGGCCGTGATTTACCTTAAAGGCCAGCTGGCTTAATCAGCCTTAAGGTGGCAATAAGATTATCCAATTGTGGCACAAATGTTAGCCTCCTCCAGTAGGCTTTGTGATGCGTGCTCCCTCGGGCACACCCCTGGGCTCCCTCGGACACATCCCTGGGCTCCCTCGGACACATCCCTGGGCTCCCTCGGACACATCCCTGGGCTCCCTCGGACACATCCCTGGGCTCCCTCGGACACATCCCTGGGCTCCCTCGGACACATCCCTGGGCTACCTCGGACACATCCCTGGGCTCCCTCGGACACATCCCTGGGCTCCCTCGGACACATCCCTGGGCTACCTCGGACACATCCCTGGGCTCCCTCAGACACATCCCTGGGCTCCCTCGGACACATCCCTGGGCTCCCTCGGACACATCCCTGGGCTCCCTCGGACACATCCCTGGTACAGGAGTAAGGTTTTTTTTAGCCTTGTTGTTTAATGTTTACCCGTAGTCTTCTCAACCAAATCTCCCTTAATTAACTATTCCCAGATTGTTAGGTTAGGTTAGGTTAGGTTAGGTTGGTTAGTCCGTGTCATCTTTAATACGTAATCAGTTTATCGGAACAGTCTGACTCCATCTATAACTTAATACAGTATTTACTTCTTGTTTATATATATTTAAGTCACACAGGTCGACAAAGGTGACATTAAAATATTGTTCTTTCTTTATTAAAGCCAACATTGACTGCGGACATAAATGAGATATTAAATTGAGAGAAAAACAGTTGCCATTGACTTCTGCTTTGGTGATATAATTTCTCGGGAAAAAAAAACAACTAAAAACTCCAAATATTTAAAAGACATTGACGAGGTAAGGAATAAGTTTTCTTCTATAAATAAATAAGTTAATTTCTAGAATTACCAAGAGGCAGGAACAGTAAAGTACTGAATGACTCGGGTTCATTTCTCTGGTGTGTTTCCTCAGTTCACGGGTCTGGCAGCCGGGGAAGGCTACACAGTGACGGTAATTGCCTGCAACGAGAAACAGTGCAGTTATGAGGAGACTCGAGAGATGTGGACCCAACCAAACAGACCCCAGCTAACGTCGGAGACGGAGTGGATAACTGCCTCCCCATCCACTGTCACTGTAGGACTGCCTTCCCTCTCCCTGGACTCTCCCCCTGTGTGAGTACCTCAGTGTAGACTCTCCCCCCGTGTGAGTACCTCAATGTAGACTCTCCTCTTGTGAGTACATCAGTGTAGACTCTCCCTGTGTGAGTACCTGAGTGTAGACTCTCCCCTGTGTGAGTACATCAGTGTAGACTTTCCCTGTGTGAGTACCTCAGTGTAGACTCTCCCCTGTGTGAGTACATCAGTGTAGACTCTCCCCCTGTGTGAGTACATCAGTGTAGACTCTCCTCGTGTGAGTACATCAGTGTAGACTCTCCCTGTGTGAGTACCTGCGTGTAGACTCTCCCCTGTGAGAGCATATCAGTGTAGACTCTCCCTGTGTGAGTACATCAGTGTAGACTTCCTCGTGTGAGTACATCAGTGTAGACTTCCTGTGTGAGTACCTGAGTGTAGACTCTCCCCTGTGTGAGTACATACATAGACTCTCCCTGTGTGGCAATTCTCAGCAGACTCTCCCCTGTGTGAGCACACATCAGTGTAGACTCCTCCCCTGTGAGAGTACCTCAGTGTAGACTCTCCTGTGTGACACCCCAGTGTAGACTCTCCCCTGTATGAGTACGTCAGTGTAGGCTCTGTGTGAGTTCCTCAGTGGATTCCCCTGTGTGAGTACCTCAGTGTAGACTCTCCCTCTGTGAGTACATCAGTGTAGAATCTCCCCCTGTGTGAGTACATCAGTGTAGACTGTCCCCCGTGTGAGTACATCAGTGGAGACTCTCCTTGTGTGAGAACCTCAGTGTAGACTCTCCCTGTGTGAGTACCTCAGTGTACACTCTCCCCCTGTGTCACTACCTCAGTGCAGACTCCCCCTCTGTGAGTACACCAGTGTAAGACTCTCCCCTGCATAAGTACATCAATGTAGACTCTTCCCCTCTGTGAATACATCGGTGTAGACTCTCCCTCTGTGAGTACATCAGTGTAGACTCTCCTTGTGTGATTACATCAGTGTAGACTCTCTGTGTGAGTACCTCAGTGTAGACTCTCCTTGTGTGATTACATCAGTGTAGACTCTCTCCCTGTGTGAGTACCTCAGTGTAGACTCTCCCTGTGTGAGTACCTCAGTTTACGCTCTTCCCTGTGTGAGTACATCAGTGTAGACTCTCCCAGTGTGAGTACCTCAGTGTAGACTCTCCCCGTATGAGTACATCAGTGTAGACTCTCTCCCTGTGTGAGTACCTCAGTGCAGACTCTCCCTGTGTGAGTACCTCAGTGTAGACTCTCCCCCTGTATGAGTACGTCAGTGTAGGCTCTCCCCTGTGTGAGTACATCAGTGTAGACTCTCCCTGTGTGAGTACCTCAGTGTAGACTCTCCTCGTGTGAGTACATCAGTGTAGACTCTCCCTGTGTGATTACCTCAGTGTAGACTCTCCCCTGTGTGAGTACATCAGTGTAGACTCTCCCTGTGTGAGTACCTCAGTGTAGACTCTCCCCGTGTGAGTACATCAGTGATTTTGCCGCTTGCAGCGGCTACTTTATTGTGCACCCCACACTCATCCTTTACTTTTACTTTTATCCTCTTTGCCACTGATCGGCTTGTTAGCCGCTTGGGCGATCGGTCACGACTCTTTTCCTTTATATTCTTCACCAAAAGGTCGGCTCGCTAGCCGCCCGGGCGATCGGTCACGTCTCTGTCACGCACTGTTGGCAAATACTGGGCATGCACCGGCTCCTGAATGTACCTGAACCCGCTCCAGTGTTGGTCAAGTCTTCTCTTGAAATAGCTCACACTCGGTGCCGTCACAACACTTTCTGGTAGATTGTTCCAAGAGTTTACAACCCTCACTCCGAAAAAGTTTGCCCTCACGGTTTTCCGGACTTGCGGCTTCTTCAATCTTGAGCTGTGACCCCTTGTGGGGCGAGCGTCCGCCAGCTCCAAGTAAGGACACTCAACTGAGTAGTGGCCCCTGAGATGCCTATAAACCTCAACTAGGTCCCCCCTTGCCCGTCTGTAGTATAAGCTAGGCAAGTTCAGGCGCTCCAATCTCGCAGGGTAGCTGAGATGCCGAAGTGCAGGCACCAGCTTGGTGGCCCTCCTTTGAACATTTTCAACCAACTGACAGTCCCTAGCATATCTCGGGGACCAGATGGGGTGACAGTACTCCAGATGGGAAGCACTTCACTCCTGAAGATCGTCACGAGGGACGGACCGTCTAGATATCTGAACGACCTTCTTATAAGACCCAATAATTTATTTGCCTGATTTACCTTCTTCTCACAATGGCCCGAGAACTTCAGCTCATTGTCAACATGCACACCTAGGTCCTTCTCACACACAGTCTCAACTAGTACATTTTCTTCATCCCGTTGGGACATATGGTACGCCTCCTTACCGTTGGTACGCCCCAGGTGCATCCTCTTACACTTCGTGACATTGAATCTCAGCAGCCATTCCTTCGACCATTCCTGGAGCCCACAGAGGTCCTTCTGCAGTTCTTCACAGTCCGCTTGGTTCTTAATTTCCCGAAATAACTTGGCGTCATCGGCAAACATTTGTATGGAGGAGTGTACAACGTCAGGCATATCATTTATGAAACAAACAAACAACAGCGGGCCCAATACACTACCCTGCGGTACCCCACTTGTTACAGGTACAGATGACGATTTCGTGCCATTAATCACCACACATTGCTTGCGGTCATGTAGAAAGTCTTCTATCCACGCTAGGACATTTCCCCGAATTCCGTATCCTTCCAGTTTGATTTTCAGCCTTTCGTGGGGTACACTGTCGAAAGCCTTAAGTAAAATCTTAGGTAAATATTGTCGATATTACCACCCCGTTTCAGAATATGGGGTCCAAATATCCAATACCTTTGAGCAATTGTTTCCTGTGAGCGGTAGCGCAAAAGGATTACAGAGTAGGGTTTACAACGGGTCATAATAATTAACCCCGGTTGTCAGGATATTATGGCACCGAAAGTTACACAGTATTTCATTTACATTATTTGTTTAGTTCTATACATAAAGGGTAACTTATTCACAAATGCGTGAGAACAGGCGTGTGAGGCAGTATGTCTGGCCTCACACTTTGTTATTCACATTTACGTGGGAGGTATTCAAGCACATTGTGTATTTGGTTCTGTACATGAGAACTGATATAGTTACTAGGTGCAAAAAAGTGTAGACTCTCCCTGTGTGAGTACCTCAGTGTAGACTCTCCCCTGTGTGAGTACATCAGTGTAGACTCTCCCTGTGTGAGTACCTCAGTGTACACTCTCCCCTGTGTGAGTACCTCAGTGTAGACTCTCCCTGTGTGTGTACCTCAGTGTAGACTCTCCCTGTGTGAGTACCTCAGTGTACACTCTCCCCTGTGTGAGTACCTCAGTGTAGACTCTCCCTGTGTGAGTACCTCAGTGTAGACTCTCCCCCTGTGTCACTACCTCAGTGCAGACTCCCCCTCTGTGAGTACATCAGTGTAAGACTCTCTACTGCATAAGTACATCAATGTAGACTCTTCCCCTCTGTGAATACATCGGTGTAGACTCTCCCTCTGTGAGTACATCAGTGTAGAATCTCCCCCTGTGTGAGTACATCAGTGTAGACTGTCCCCCGTGTGAGTACATCAGTGGAGACTCTCCTTGTGTGAGAACCTCAGTGTAGACTCTCCCTGTGTGAGTACCTCAGTGTACACTCTCCCCCTGTGTCACTACCTCAGTGCAGACTCCCCCTCTGTGAGTACACCAGTGTAAGACTCTCCCCTGCATAAGTACATCAATGTAGACTCTTCCCCTCTGTGAATACATCGGTGTAGACTCTCCCTCTGTGAGTACATCAGTGTAGACTCTCCTTGTGTGATTACATCAGTGTAGACTCTCTGTGTGAGTACCTCAGTGTAGACTCTCCTTGTGTGATTACATCAGTGTAGACTCTCTCCCTGTGTGAGTACCTCAGTGTAGACTCTCCCTGTGTGAGTACCTCAGTTTACGCTCTTCCCTGTGTGAGTACATCAGTGTAGACTCTCCCAGTGTGAGTACCTCAGTGTAGACTCTCCCCGTATGAGTACATCAGTGTAGACTCTCTCCCTGTGTGAGTACCTCAGTGCAGACTCTCCCTGTGTGAGTACCTCAGTGTAGACTCTCCCCCTGTATGAGTACGTCAGTGTAGGCTCTCCCCTGTGTGAGTACATCAGTGTAGACTCTCCCTGTGTGAGTACCTCAGTGTAGACTCTCCTCGTGTGAGTACATCAGTGTAGACTCTCCCTGTGTGATTACCTCAGTGTAGACTCTCCCCTGTGTGAGTACATCAGTGTAGACTCTCCCTGTGTGAGTACCTCAGTGTAGACTCTCCCCGTGTGAGTACATCAGTGATTTTGCCGCTTGCAGCGGCTACTTTATTGTGCACCCCACACTCATCCTTTTACTTTCTTTATCCTTTCGCCACTGATCGGCTTGTTAGCCGCTTGGCGATCGGTCACGACTCTTTTCCTTTATATTCTTCGCCAAAAGGTCGGCTCGCTAGCCGCCCGGGCGATCGGTCACGTCTCTGTCACGCACTGTTGGCAAATACTGGGCATGCACCGGCTCCTGAATGTACCTGAACCCGCTCCAGTGTTGGTCAAGTCTTCTCTTGAAAGAGCTCACACTCGGTGCCGTCACAACACTTTCTGGTAGATTGTTCCAAGAGTTTACAACCCTCACTCCGAAAAAGTTTGCCCTCACGGTTTTCCGGACTTGCGGCTTCTTCAATCTTGAGCTGTGACCCCTTGTGGGGCGAGCGTCCGCCAGCTCCAAGTAAGGACACTCAACTGAGTAGTGCCCCCTGAGATGCTTATAAACCTCAACTAGGTCCCCCCTTGCCCGTCTGTAGTATAAGCTAGGCAAGTTCAGGCGCTCCAATCTCGCAGGGTAGCTGAGATGCCGAAGTGCAGGCACCAGCTTGGTGGCCCTCCTTTGAACATTTTCAACCAACTGACAGTCCCTAGCATATCTCGGGGACCAGATGGGGTGACAGTACTCCAGATGGGGAAGCACTTCACTCCTGAAGATCGTCACGAGGGACGGACCGTCTAGATATCTGAACGACCTTCTTATAAGACCCAATAATTTATTTGCCTGATTTACCTTCTTCTCACAATGGCCCGAGAACTTCAGCTCATTGTCAACATACACACCTAGGTCCTTCTCACACACAGTCTCAACTAGTACATTTTCTTCATCCCGTTGGGACATATGGTACGCCTCCTTACCGTTGGTACGCCCCAGGTGCATCCTCTTACACTTCGTGACATTGAATCTCAGCAGCCATTCCTTCGACCATTCCTGGAGCCCACAGAGGTCCTTCTGCAGCTCTTCACAGTCCGCTTGGTTCTTAATTTCCCGAAATAACTTGGCGTCATCGGCAAACATTTGTATGGAGGAGTGTACAACGTCAGGCATATCATTTATGAAACAAACAAACAACAGCGGGCCCAATACACTACCCTGCGGTACCCCACTTGTTACAGGTACAGATGACGATTTCGTGCCATTAATCACCACACATTGCTTGCGGTCATGTAGAAAGTCTTCTATCCACGCTAGGACATTTCCCCGAATTCCGTACCCTTCCAGTTTGATTTTCAGCCTTTCGTGGGGTACACTGTCGAAAGCCTTGGCAAAATCTAGGTAAATATTGTCGATATTACCACCCGTTCTAGAATATGGGTCCAAATATCCAATACCTTGAGCAATTGTGTCAAGCAAGAGCGCCCCGGCATAAAACCGTGTTGGCAATCTTTTACAAGGTTGTTTCGTAGTAGATGTTCCATCGCTGCATCTCTGATAATACTCTCCTGTGAGCGGTAGCGCAAAAGGATTACAGAGTAGGGTTTACAACGGGTCATAATAATTAACCCCGGTTGTCAGGATATTATGGCACCGAAAGTTACACAGTATTTCATTTACATTATTTGTTTAGTTCTATACATAAAGGGTAACTTATTCACAAATGCGTGAGAACAGGCGTGTGAGGCAGTATGTCTGGCCTCACACTTTGTTATTCACATTTACGTGGGAGGTATTCAAGCACATTGTGTATTTGGTTCTGTACATGAGAACTGATATAGTTACTAGGTGCAAAAAAGTGTAGACTCTCCCTGTGTGAGTACCTCAGTGTAGACTCTCCCCTGTGTGAGTACATCAGTGTAGACTCTCCCTGTGTGAGTACCTCAGTGTACACTCTCCCCTGTGTGAGTACCTCAGTGTAGACTCTCCCTGTGTGTGTACCTCAGTGTAGACTCTCCCTGTGTGAGTACCTCAGTGTACACTCTCCCCTGTGTGAGTACCTCAGTGTAGACTCTCCCTGTGTGAGTACCTCAGTGTAGACTCTCCCCCTGTGTCACTACCTCAGTGCAGACTCCCCCTCTGTGAGTACATCAGTGTAAGACTCTCTACTGCATAAGTACATCAATGTAGACTCTTCCCCTCTGTGAATACATCGGTGTAGACTCTCCCTCTGTGAGTACATCAGTGTAGAATCTCCCCCTGTGTGAGTACATCAGTGTAGACTGTCCCCCGTGTGAGTACATCAGTGGAGACTCTCCTTGTGTGAGAACCTCAGTGTAGACTCTCCCTGTGTGAGTACCTCAGTGTACACTCTCCCCCTGTGTCACTACCTCAGTGCAGACTCCCCCTCTGTGAGTACACCAGTGTAAGACTCTCCCCTGCATAAGTACATCAATGTAGACTCTTCCCCTCTGTGAATACATCGGTGTAGACTCTCCCTCTGTGAGTACATCAGTGTAGACTCTCCTTGTGTGATTACATCAGTGTAGACTCTCTGTGTGAGTACCTCAGTGTAGACTCTCCTTGTGTGATTACATCAGTGTAGACTCTCCTCCTGTGTGAGTACATCAGTGTAGACTCTCCCCCTGTGTGAGTACATCAGTGTAGACTCTCCCCCTGTGTGAGTACATCAGTATAGACTCTCCCCCTGTGTGAGTACATAAGTGTAGATTCTCCCTGTGTGAGTACATCAGTGTAGATTCTCCCCCAATGTGAGTACATCAGTATAGACTCTCCCCTGTGTGAGTTCATCAGTGTAGGCTCTCTCCTGTGTGAGTACATCAGTGTAGACTCTCCCATTGTGAGGTTACTCAGTGTAGACTCTGTCCTGTGTGAGTACATCAGTGTCGACTCTCCCATGAGTACCAGAGACTCTCCTTGTGTGATTACATCAGTGTAGACTCTCTCAGGTGAGTACCTCAGTGTAGACTCTCCTTGTGTGATTACATCAGTGTAGACTCTCCTCCTGTGTGAGTACATCAGTGTAGACTCTCCCCCTGTGTGAGTACATCAGTGTAGCCTCTCTCCCTGTGTGAGTACATCAGTGTAGACTCAACCCCTGTGTGAGTACATCAGTGTAGACTCTCCTTGTGTGAGTACATCAGTGTAGACTCTCCCCCTGTGTGAGTACATCAGTGTAGACTCTCCCCCTGTTTGAGTACATCAGTGTAGACTCTCCCCCTGTTTGAGTACATCAGTGTAGACTCTCCCCCTGTTTGAGTACATCAGTGTAGACTCTCCCCCTGTTTGAGTACATCAGTGTAGACCTTCCTCAGTTTTACTTCAGCACATGTATTATCTTACAGCTGTGAAACATAGCTGAAATAATAAGTTGTAAATCAGTTAGTTGATTTGTTTAACAGCGTCCTGTGGGTTGTGGTAACCGAGACCGTGGGAGACGAGGAGACTTCACCTGCCAGAGCTGAGGAAGTCAAACGCCAAGCGGTGGACCTGGTTAACAAGACCTCGTCCAGGCTGAAACGGGACCTCAGTGACCAGACGTGGATTGCTGCTGAAATTGACTTGGTAGGTTATTTACTTGCCTGTAATTATAAATATAATGAAAATAACTACAATAATAATAATGGGCCGAACAATGTTTGATGTCTCTGATTCACAGAGTCATGAGATCTCGGTGTCTCAGATTCACAGAGTCATGAGATCTCGGTGTCTCAGATTCACAGAGACGTGAGTTCTCGGTGTCTCAAATTCATAGTCATGAGTTCTCGGTGTCTCAGATTCACAGAGACATGAGTTCTCGGTGTCTCAGAATCATAGAGTCATCAGTTCTCGGTGTCTCAGATTCATAGTTATGAGTTCTAGGGGTCTCAAATTCACAGAGACATGAGTTATCGGTTTCTCAGATTCAAAGTCATGAGTTCTCGGTGTCTCAGATTCACAGAAACATGAGTTCTCGGTGTCTCAGACTCACAGTGTCATGAGGTCTCGGTGTCTCAGATTCACAGAGTCGTGAGTTCTCGGTGTCTCAGATTCACAGAGTCATCAGTTCTCGGTGTCTCAGATTCACAGAGTAATGAGTTCTCGGTGTCTCAGATTAACAGAGTCAACAGTTCTCGGTGTCTCAGATTCACAGAAACATGAGTTCTCGGTGTCACAGATTCATAGTCATGAGTTTTCGGTGTCTCAGATTCATAGAGACATGAATTCTCGGTGTCTCAGATTCATAGAGTCATGAGTTCTCGGTGTCTCAAATTCATAGTCATGAGTTCTAAGTGTCTCAAATGCACAGAGACATGAGTTCTCGGTGTCTCAGAGTCACAGAGACATGAGTTCTCGGTATCTCAGATTCACATAAACATGAGTTCTCGGTGTCTCAGATTCACAGGGTCATGAGTTCTCGGTGTCTCAGATTGACACAGTCATGAGTTTTCGGTGTCTCAGATTCACAGAGACATGAGTTCTCGGTGTCTCAGATTCACAGAGACATGAGTTCTCGGTGTCTCAGATTCACAGAGACATGAGTTCTCGGTGTCTCAGAGTCACAGAGACATGAGTTCTCGGTGTCTCAGATTCACAGAGACATGAGTTCTCGGTGTCTCAGATTCACAGAGACATGAGTTCTCGGTGTCTCAGATTGACACAGTCATGAGTTTTCGGTGTCTCAGTTTCACAGAGACGCGAGTTCTCGGTGTCTCAGATTCACAGAGTCATGAGTTTTTGGTGTCTCAGATTCACAGAGACATGAGTTTTCGGTGTCTCAGATTCACAGAGACATGAGTTCTCGGTGTCTCAGATTCACAGAGTCATGAGTTTTTGGTGTCTCAGATTCACAGAGACATGAGTTTTCGGTGTCTCAGATTCACAGAGACATGAGTTCTAGGCGTCTCAAATTCACAGAGAAATGAGTTCTCGGTGTTTCAGATTCACAGGGTCATGAGTTCTCGGTGTCTCAGATTCATAGAGTCATGAGTTCTCGGTGTCTCAGATTCATAGAGTCATGAGTTCTCGGTGTCTCAGATTCACAGGGTCATGAGTCTCAGGAGTGGACAGTTTTCCGTGAATCTACACCGTCTTGTCTCATCTGTCAGGTGTACACAATATACGAATCTTTCCCACATATATCGTTCATTTTCTCTTCCTCATTTATTCTTAATTGTTCTTTCTACTTGTCTTTGTTTTGTCATTTTATCTGTTTTCATTACGCCTAAGTAAGTCAATAGTGTTGTTGTTGGTCATTCTGTTTTTTTAATTTTGGGCGGAATAATTTTTTTTTTTCACTTTAGAGGATAATGATTGTTGACTCGCTAGATAACATCGTGTGTGTGTGTGTGTGTAGTAGTAGTAGTAGTAGTAGTTAATAGTGTATTTGAAAAAAGATTGTGAAAATATAGAGAAGAAGGAAATAGAGAGATAAAGGAGTGTCTAGGTAAAAACTGGATGTAGAAGAGAATAAGTGGAAGGAAGTGGTGAGGACGATTACAATACGCAGATGATAACATTAATAACAACAACGACAACAGCGATAATAACAATAATCATAATAACAATGACATATGAATAATCTCAACAGAACGGAATGGGTAATGAATTTGTCGTCGGAGATAACCAAACCCATGGTGGCTTCTACAATCAACCCCTGGAGGAGAACGGAAAATACTGGGTAACCGTAATAGCCGAGACCAGAGCAGGTGTGTGAGCTGTACCTTCTTCACCATAACTTAACCCAATCTTATCTAATTTAACTTTACCTCCTAACAGCTTTAACTTACCCTAGTCAGGTGTGTGGTTCTATCTTAACTCAATCAGGTGTGTGGTCCTAGCTTAACCCAATCAGGTGTGTGGTCCTAACTTAACCCAATCAGGTGTGTGGTCCTAACTTAACCCAATCAGGTGTGTGGTCCTAACTTAACCAAATCATTTGTGTGGTCCTAACTTAACCCAATCAGGTGTGTGGTCCTAACTTAACCCAATCAGGTGTGTGGTCCTAACTTAACCCAATCAGGTGTGTGGTCCTAACTTAACCCAGTCAGGTGTGTGGTCCTAACTTAACCCAATCAGGTGTGTGGTTCGAACTTTACCCAACAGGTGTGTGGTCCTAACTTAACCTGGTGTGTGGTCCTAACCAACCCAATCAGGTGTGTGGTCCTAACTTTACCCAATCAGGTGTGTGGTCCTAACTTAACCCAATCAGGTGTGTGGTCCAACTTAACCCAATCAGGTGCGTGGTCCTAACTTAACCCAATCAGGTGTGTGGTTCGAACTTTACCCAACAGGTGTGGTCCCTACTTAATCCAATCAGGTGTGTGGTCCTAACTTAACCCAATCAGGTGTGTGGTTCGAACTTTACCCAACAGGTGTGTGGTCCTAACTTAATCCAATCAGGTGTGTGGTCTAACTTAACCCAATCAAATCTGATTTAACTTGGGCACCTAATTGTATCTGTCATCCTTATTTAGTATAACTCAATCCAGTGTCATTTTAACAACCTATCTTATTTTGACGCTTGAATTTCAGTTCACGTTTTAAGTAGGAGGTTGATAGCTTAGGTTAGGTTAGGTTAGTTTGGGCTAGGTTAGGGTTAGGGTCAGGTCAGGTCAGGTCAGGTCAGGTCAGGTCAGGTTAGGTTGGGTTGTGGGTTGGGTAGGGTTACGTTAGTTTGGGTTAGGTTAGGTTAGGTCAGGTCAGGTTAGGTTAGGTCATGTCAGGTTAGGTCAGGTCAAGTCAGGTTAGGTTAGGTCAGGTCATGTCAGGTTAGGTTAGGTCATGTTAGGTCAGGTCAGGTCAGGTCAGGTCAGGTTAGGTTAGGTTAGGTCAGGTTAGGTTGGGTTGGGTTGCTAGGTTAGGTTAGGGTTGGTAAGGTTAGGTGTCAGGTCAGGTTAGGTCAGGTCAAGTCAGGTTAGGTTAGGTTAGGTTGGGTTGGGTTGGGTTAGGTTAGGTTAGGTTAGGTTGGGTTAGGTTAGGTCATGTCAGGTTAGGTCAGGTCTACATTATAACAACGCTCTCTCTTTTTGCTACAGGACCCCACAGAGTGTTTTCATCTTCAATCCCAGACTTGTATATAGCTGTCACCCCTACTAGTGTTGCTTCATGGGTTGTTCCTCTGTTACTTCTGGTGATGGTGTGCTTGACTGTTGCTGGCTACTTCCTATGGCGCAGGTACTGTACGTTCTTGTTACTGACTTTCTGTGGGAGGTTAAGGTACTTTCTCTCACTACTTTCTTCCTGTAGGTGAATAATGAGGTACTTTCTTTCACTACTTTCTTCCTGTAGGTGAATAATGAGGTACTTTCCCACACTACTTTCTTCCTGGAGGTGAATAATGAGATACTTTCTCACTACTGTCTCTTTGTAGGTGAATAATGAGGTACTTTCTCACTACTGTCTCCCTGTAGGTGAATAATGAGGTACTTTCTCCCACTACTTTCTTCCTGTAGGTGAATAATGAGGAACTTTCCACTACTTTCTTCCTGTACATGAATAATGATACTTTCTCATTACTGTCTTCCTGCAGAATAATAGGTTTCTCTCACTACTTTCTTCCTGTAGGTGAATAATGAAGTACTTTCTCTCACTACTGTCTCCCTGTACGTGAATAATGAGGTACTT